GTGAATCCGAAGTCATTTTCATAACCCCTATGATGTAAGAATATCCTTTAGTGGTCCTAAATCTCGAGACCGATGGGTATATGGATCTTTTCTACATATTTTTCATGAGCATATACACAATATGTATATTTTGGTATGTGTGGGTAAACATGTTTATAAAATGATTTCATCCCAAATATATACAAGAATATCAATGCATTGCATGTAATGTAGATCATATTTGTGATGTATTCTAAGATAGGTTCACATGTGAATCTTAATCATAACTTGTACTTGAATCAATTTAAATTTTATAACCGAGATTCTAAATCCACCTAAGATTCATATATGAATACGTGAATCATATCATATATTCACATGTTATTCTTAATTATAACTTGTACATGAGTCAATTTACAACTTGTAGGCAGGATTTTGAATCAATTTAAGATTCATATGTGTTAATTAACATACTATATTATAAATGATTTGTTTTAATTGTATTATGTAATGTTCGAATTGACTATTTTGTTAGCATGTTCCTTTTGAATATTTAACAATTTTCAACTAGTTTTTCAGCTAGTTTGCAAAACATAGCCTCGATCAATTAATTTATCATCTAACAGTCAAGTTATCGGCTAACACATTAAACAAAGTCTAAATTTCTAAACGATTCCAACATTAATTATACTATCAAATTACTCAATTGAACTTAATATGCAATGGATAATTCATTCTTAAAACTTATGGACACACATAGTTCATTAGATGCCTTAATTCATGTCCCTACTAGAATATATATGAACACAACTGAACGTATATGAACATTAGTTGCAGTCTATGGCCAGGGCCGTCCATGGGCCTGTTACATAGGCTATTCAGAACAGGGCCCCCAACATCTTGGGGCCCAAATTTTACAGCCCGTCACTATGTGGACTATTATGGTACGCCTCTCTTTCTCTATTCACAATCACACAGCGCGCCTAAAATCAGACCAGAACCCTAATAGCGATTCCTAAATCGGTAAATCCTAATGGTCGAAGAACGTTAGAACGAGTCCACGATAGGTCGAACCGTCGAAGAGAAGAATGCGTACGCCACTAGACGCCTCGATCTCCCCTCTCATCTCTATCCGCGATTGTCGATTGACTTCTTCAAAGAGGGCTAATGATGATATACAACGGCAACGAAAACAACAGTCAGATTTTACTATTTTAGATGATTTTTGTTAAGTATATAAGTACATATTTGGTCGATTTGTTGATTACTCGTTATCTAATTGCTATTCGCTATTCTTAAATCTCAATCTCCACGATTTATTTGGTCCATTACTCTTGTTTTTTTGCTGATTTCATCATCTGTCGATTGTCATATGTGTTGTTGGTAACTTGGTTGGATGATTTTGACCTAATTTCTAAATCCTAAAGGTGAGAAGTATGCTCCTAACTTGGTTGGACAATTTTGTCAAATTCAATTCTTTATCTATAATTCTTTATACACAGCCTCTATCTCTATGATTATGATTTATGATTTATTGATTTATGAAGTATTTCGTTGGCTTCTTGGGTTTGGTGGCTTTGGACCTCTAAAATAAGAAGCATCATTTAGGAACTGTCATTTCATTTTTTTTAAGCAATGCAATGATAGCACTTGAAAATGATTTTTTTGGAGAAAATTGATTATGAAGAGCTTATTGAAGATTTTATTTCCAAGAATGTTAAAAGAATGATTTTATTCAAGTGAAGTTTAGATGTTACATTGTTACTTTATCTTGCTGTTTTTATTTGTAAGACTTTCAATATAATATGAACTTTTGTATTTAATTTTTGTTCGTTTTGTCGGCCAATCTACTTATACTTTTTATAATAGTGTAACAGGGCCTCCAAAAAGATTGGGACGGCCCTGTTTATGGCAGGTCAAGCATCACAAGCAGCTGATGGAGCCGAATGGTTATCAGAATTGGATTGCATAACAAATTAAGTTGACAATGAACTCATTCCATTTGAACATATGAATTGGGCTTGTAGTAATAATTAAAGAAAAAACTACCAACATAATATGAACTATAAAAAAACACAAAACGTCATAATCAACATAATTTCGATTAAAACGAATATAATAAAATATTAATCTATTACCAATACAAACGCTTTGATTATTGTCTTCACTTCCGGAACTCGAAGTCCGATTGTCATCGTAAATCATTTTAACATTCCCATTGTTGTCTAGTTGTTTTCCAATAGGTTTATCTATATTAGCTTGAACGATATCGAAAACGTTACTATCGGGTCTTCTTTAACAATCACAAATTCAAGAATATTATCTATATTATCTTATAAAGCAAATTTAGCAAAAGTCTTAAAGTTTTAAAATACTAAATCACCAAGATACTCTTATCTATATTAACTCACATTTTCACCCCCTCCTCTCCTTACATACACTCACCCCTCACATACACTCACCCTCTCACATTAAACCGATTTTTTTAAAATTATAATTTTAAATTTACACTTTATATCCCTATAATTAGTTAATTAATTTACTTTACGTCATTTACTTTTAAATGTTTCATTTTAAACCTTTATCAAATTAACATACATGATCGTATATCAATTAAAATATGTTTAAAAAATACATTTTTATTTTAACAAATTACACCATTATAATCGTCTCGTTAATACCTTCGAAATGGGTCCAATATTGAATAGTTTTTGACTTAATTATATTATTATATATTATATATACTGTGAAAAATATTTTTAATATTTGCGATTTATATTTTTATAGTTATTTATTTATATATATATACTATATATTTTGGGGTTAGGCTGTCCAAATTGCACTGTATAATATGTTCTTGGATTTTTTTGAAATATATATATACATGTATTAATTCAACCTTAAATTGAGTTTCTGGACAAAAAAGAGGGTAAGCAGTTGAAATTTCATTCTAAAACCCATCTTTTTTGGTTTTTTCATAGCTTATGATTTGTCAAATTTGTTTTCTTTATTAGTTTTGAGTGTTTATCTTAAAACTCAAGTTTCTTGGTTCTTTGCTCTTGGTGTAAATTGAACACATTTGTGGAGTCGTTTAAATATGTTGAATTTAAAACTGTCATATAATTTTTTTCATCGATAGTCTGTGATTGGAACCATAACTCTTATTTATTCAAATTGTATTAATACGTAAAGACCAAGTGTAACCTATATCATCGTTAAATCTTATCTTATAAAACCAGTGAAACTTCAAAATCGTTAAAATTCATGGTTCCCGCCGCATTGCGCGGGTACACAACTAGTTGATAGATAAATCAATATTATAGAAAAACAAGATCAATAGTAAATCAACAACAATTATGAGATTTTTTTTGATTTTGTAACTCCCAATTAATGATATGGGAGTTACATATAAACCAAAATTACATATTTACCCTTATCATTAAATTATGAGATGGATATGAACCTAGATAAAAGATGGATTTTCATTGATTGGGTTTAGTTAACAAAGTTAACACAATAATCTTGGTTAACATTTGAACCAAACTATATATATATATATATATATATATAGGACTAATCAAATAAGAATTGGTTAGTTTGTGGTAATCGTGAGATCGAACGTGAACAAATCATTCAGAATAATTAATATGATTTCTTAAAATAAGTAAAATGGTAAATTAGTAAAATTTTGTTAAGTATTCACTTTACTTTAATTAGTTTAATATTCTAACATTGAAATAGATATATGTGTGCGTGCACGCACACACACACACACACACACACACACACACATATATATATATATATATACTAAAATGGACGAGATCACCACCTGTGACCATCTTTCCTCAT